AGGGGAGCCCTCATCGCTCTCTGCAACTGCCTGAAAGGAGGCTGGAGCCGGGGGGGTCGGTCTCTTCTCCCCAGGAACAAGCGATGGGACGAGAGGGAACGGCCTCAAGCTGCGCCAGGGCAGGGTTAGGTTGGATATTAGGAAAAACTTCTTCACCGAGAGGGTGGTCAAGCATTGGCCCAGGCTGCCCAGGGCAGTGGTTGAGTCCCCATCCCTGGAGGTATATTTAAAGAAGATAGATGTGGTGCTCGAGGACATGGCATAGTGATGGACTTGGCAGTGCTGGGTTAACGGTTGGACTCGATGATCTTAAGGGTCTTTTCCAACCTTAACGATTCTATGATTCTATTTGGATCATTTTTTGCACCATTTGGGCAGCCCTGGCTTGTGAAGGCCGGTCTTTCTGTTAGCGCTGCAGAGGGATGCAGTTGATCACTGCCAAGTCGTTTGAAGTCAATGATCTTCACAATGCTGTTAAAAAGTAGTGTAAAAGCTATGTAGAAAAGGTGTTTTGGACAGTAAATTCTAAGTGATATTTTTGAAGAAGTGCTCTATAAGGAAATTGCTTGCTATGCTCATTTTAGCTTATGAACCCCAGTACAGGTGGGGTAATCCGTAATTGGCAGCGTGCACTCACTGATTGTTGCCTCTTTTACCCTTTATGCAGTCTGAATACTTAAGAAGCAGATTTTTTTTTTTTTTTTAGTCCTCTAGATGAAGGGATTCTGTGTTGTATTTATGCTCTCTGGTTGAAGGCTGTGTGTGTATATATGCTTTACATAAAGATTTTGGTATGGAAACTTGAATACAGATTTGGTATTTCATAAAATATTCTGAACAGTTTGCTTTGAAGTGTGCTGCACTAATGAAGTATGCTGTACTTCCTAGAAAGAGGGTAAGGCAGAACAGAAAAATTTGGTGAAATGACAATATCAATATTTGGAAAAACAATAAAATTGTTTTGTTTGCTTTGGATAAATAACAGATCATTCAGCAGAAATATTTATAGTGGCTTTGTGCATTTAGAAAGCCACCTTTGGTGACATACCTGGTGTTAGAAAGCTTTTGACATCGTCTTTAGATTCTCAAATCTATTCAGTGCTAGCAAAAATTCAGTTTTCTATGAAAAGTTTGATCAAATTGAGTATTTGCAGAAGGTCTTAATTTGCTAAATATTCCTGTTATCTGCGGTATCGTGATGTTTACTTGGTTCTTATTTTAATATTTTACATATTGTTTGGAAAATGGAAAGTGTTGTTCTTCCTCACTTGAATACGGTTGGATCGTTGTGTGCTTTGCATCTGCTGGGTTTGAGAGGGCTGAGGGCTGTTTCTTCCAGAGTCTCTGGGTTCAAAACTTGTTTATTCAAATATGGGAGAGAAAATGCAAGAAGAGATGGTCCTGGGTATGGATTCAAGCTACACCCCTGAAAATGTCAGTGTATATGTGGCTGTTAATTCGTAAGCCGTGTGCATCTTCTCTAAAGATTTAATAAGCTGAGGTTGCTGCATTTTAACCGTAGCAGAATTAAATATGTTTCTCCATCACAGATATGGGCAGGCTATGATTGAAACGTAATCTGATAATACTTCGCTTTGAATAAAACCGTGAGAGTGGAAAGGCTGTTCAGGAAATTTCTGATTAGTTTTGTAATAAACTTCAGGACAGGAAAATCTCTTGGAAGGTCTATCTTGATCGTCCTTAGTAAACAACAGAAGAACACAGAATCTTGTAACGAAAATTAGTTTTGCGGACGACGGAATATATAACTCATGCTTTCAAGCAGAATAAACAAGTTTTCAGGCTGAGTTTAATCCGAGTCCCTGTGATGGTACGCTGCAGAAGAGCTGGGATTTCTAAGGAATTTGCAGTGAGTTTACGCTGGAGCATAGCATCTTCTGCAGCTGCCTTCCTGTTATTTGGCCTTTGAATACGAAACACTTCACTGTTGATATTCCACACATTTTAGGGAGATACAATTTTGATATTTGGCTTACTACAAAGAGAGGGAGCAAATTTACTGTTATAATAATGACTGCTAATAATGAGCTGCTAAATTATTATTTTTTTTCCCCTAAATAATTTTTTTTTAATGAAAAGTTTCTGATTTCTGCAGGAGAAAATTGTCACTGAGATATTTTTAGCCAATCCCAAATTAATTCAGCAGAAAATAAAAATGTTTTGGTATGCTGCCTTACTATTTCAGAGGCGTTTAGTTTGGGTGCCTCATTGTGCTCTGCCTCTTGGTGCTCCTCCAGCTGTCGTGCTATGTGGCAGGTTGTGGCACGAGGTGCCCGGCGTCCCTTTTCCCGGCATCCCCTCTCCCTGCCCGTGCCGGGGCTGCAGTGGGTCAGTCTGGACGTGAACCGCACGGCTCCCTGCCCGGGCAGGCAGGTGATGTATGTGCTGATGCTGTATCACGGAGAGGTGGTCCTGGTCTTCTGGATAGGGTCTGTAACGTCCTTGGAGCTAGTACAGGGCCTTAAATACAGCTCTGGAGGCAGAAAAACCCCAAAGAATTCCTCTTTGCTTCCAGAAGTTGATCAAACTGAAGGATGGAGCAGGGACAAACTTCCTTCGCCTTCTCGTTGCTCCTTTTCCTCCTCAGAGACATTCACCCCTCTTTTGAGGAATTCCTTTGTTTCCATTGATGTTGTATTTCTCAGGGAGAAGGACATTGGCCAAGCTCCTTTCTGTGCTTCTTCCCTCTTTTTTCCGTGGTTTCGGCATCGTGCTGACTCTCTTTGCCTGCTCCCTGCTGCTGTTCAGATAAATTTGTGCCCTCTGCCTCTTCCAGCAAAAAGGAGGCAGAATTTATTTCCATAAACAGCCTTTGCAGCTTGAGGGACTAGCTCTTCAAATTGCAGTCTCTGAGGAGTCCCATCATTTCTCCAGAAAGTGATGATATAGCAGAGTTTAATTACCAGCCATTAATCCCAGATATTTTATGTTCGTATTATGCATTACATAAATATACCTTATGAAATGTTCCGAGAGGAATTTAGTGGCATATATAACGTATAATTGTGCGTGTACGTGTGCAGCAAGTCTGCAGGTGCGGCGTCGCTGTGGAGAGGTGCAGCGGTGCGCTGAGAGGCAGCTAACGGTGCGGCGTGGCTGCCTTCTCCTACCGAACGGTGCGGCGTGGCTGCCTTCTCCTACCTTATTTCCAGTGGTACTTCTGAATGGGTTTTACTGCAAGCTGTATTCTCCAAGATAAAATTCTGCCTATTAGGGAATATATGTAGCAGCGTAGTCATTACTTCCTTTCCCAAAGCCAGGTGAGAGGAATCAGCAGCTCTGCTCAGACATGAAAAAAGGGATCTAACAGCATCTCAAGCACGCCCGTGGTGCTGGTGCCGGTGCTACGGCCTGTTCGGCTCCCGGGAGGATGCTGCCGACCCCGATACACATTCACCACCGAGCCTGTCATCCTTAGGACATCATGTCAGACACGAGTCGCCACGTTTAAGGTTTAAGCATCTACCTGATAGCAATTTCATCTTCGCATGTAATCACAGCGAGAGCTAATGGTTTCCTCCTGTTGCAGCATACAAAGGTGCTACTTCTGATCAAAGGGAACGATAAAAAATACGTCAGATAATACTGTAAAATGTTCTTCGCCCAACTGAAGCATAAACTAGAACTGCAGAAACAAAATTTCTGTGCCCAGAGTCTGTAATATTTATTTTTAAAAGGCCTTTTATGTAACTTTCTGCTAGGTTGTTCTAGCAAGCCCTGATGTCTGATTTCCTTGGAAAAATCATAGATTATTTTTTTCATAAAAAGTCACTTGGCCTACTTCCTGTGCGTTTTGTAGAAAAGGGTTTATTCTTCTAGCATCTTAATTTTTTGGTTGCAAAAATAAATGATGTAATTACTCTTCAGCTAGTAGAGAAGTCTTCACAAGTGACAGTCTTTCAAGATATGAAGCGTCGAATGTTTCAAAGTAATTCTGATACTGACGATGAAAAGTGAATGCGGTAGCAGAAAAATAAAACCAAGATTCCTTTGCTGAGATAAAACGGTGATGTTGGAATGTGGCCTACAAGTACGGAGGTTGACAGGCGCGGTGAGCATCGGTCGCTGCCCGGCACAGCCCGGGCGGTCCCAGCAGGGCTGGGGCCACGGGAGGGCTGAGTTCATGACAGCAGCAAGTAGCGGTTCTTGCTAAAGACAAATTCATCAGTGTTAATTAATCAGCCTCAGTCGAGAGGCTGATTTAAAGTGGGAATGTAAAATTAGTTAAAAATTCAGGTGTTGGTTGATACAGCGTCTCAGTGAGAAGTGGCTGGGAGGGGAACTGGCCTCTGCTGGTCAGCCGCAGGCGGAGGCTGGGGAAGGCGACCGATGAGGGTTCTGTCATCCTTGGGTGGGCTTTTGCTTTGGAATGATGGTGATAATTCTTTGTGTACGTGGGATGTTTCCTTTCTTTTCATATACTGTTTTCTGAAAAGGCTCTCTGTATCTTGTTTATTTTTGTGTGCTTATATGAGATGATACTATAATCTTCCGTAAAATTCAAAATCAACTGTATAAATATTTCTCAAACCTAATCTCTAATAATATGTAAAAGATACTCTGTCAGGGTTGGGATATGTTGGATATTTTTCAGGATGGACGTTTTTTTTTTTTTTCCACTGAAGATTGATTGATTTATTTACTTACAGGGATGGGATTATGCTGTCACATGCCTGGTAGTTAAAGCTAAATAAAAGATAAAAAAAGTTGCTTAGAATTAGTTTAATATACCTGTTCTTCAAATAGCTGTAAAAGTGTTTTCCAGACCTTCTCCGTCTGCAGCATCTCACGGAGAATCGGCTGCTATGCTTTGCAATCCTGGTGTAAATCTCTTGGGAATAGTCATTTACGGACGTTGTGATTGCAAACAAAAGCTGCAAGTGGACAAATCTGAGTTTTTGAATCATCTTAGAAAGGATCTAGATATAAACTCAGATCCAGATAGAGGTAAAGCCTCACGGTGGAGCATAGCGAAAACTGTGATGTGTTATTACTTTTTTTTCACATTCCTTGCTGAATGCCGAAAGCTGTGGATCGCTGTTGGTGAGGAATCAAACGGCCGCCCGCACGCTCAGAGTTGGCCTTTTGCTCTCCTGTCTTACAGCTGTTATTTCTCGAAACCAAGAAGGACCTGGAGAGATGGGAAAGGCTGTGCTCATTCCGAAGGACGACCAGGAGAAGATGAAAGAGCTGTTCAAAATCAACCAGTTTAACCTTATGGCCAGTGACCTGATTGCCCTGAACCGAAGTTTGCCCGACGTGAGATTAGACGGGTGAGTCCCCGCGGTGCCGGTGCCTCGGTGCCACCGCCGAGCCGCGGCGCGGGCTGCCCGTGCCTCCCGCCCCTGTCAAGGCGCGAGATGCAGCGCTGGCTCCAGGTTAATTAACGGCCGTTATTAGCGGTGATTGCCCAAGGAAGCTACTCGAGAACGCCGGGGCTCACCGGTTCTAGGTCCGGCTTCTAATGCAGACTTTCTTAGGAAGGCAGTTACTGCATCCCAAACGTTATTATCCTGTACAATTTATTTTGTCAACAGCTGAAAATTGTCAACTTACAGCCATCAGTTTACATTGCGGCACGTAACAAAAGGCTCTCTAGTTTGTCTTGTCACCTGGAATAATTTAAATATTTTTTTATTCAGGGAAAACTGTATTTCTAAGGTTTTAAAATGATAAAAATATCAATGTCTACTCTAAAAATTTTCATAATTATGCTGTTGGCATTTAAAAATTGACATTTTAATGCTGATATAGAGAAAATACTACCAATACAAAAAAATACCTGCAGGATGTAGTTTTCTTTTAGCTTTATCCATAGACATTTCCAGAATAATCAGAATTTTATAGAACATCTTTCAAAATGTTTTACAATAACGTAAAAACCGAAGGGGGTTTTGTGGTTGGGGTTTTGTTTTGAAGTCTAGTGACTGAATCGTTCTTTTTGAGTGAAGCCTGAAGTTTGTGTGGTGACTTTGAGACTGTGGAATAGCTTGGGGGAGTGTTTCACCGAGTCCGTTGAATTACTTTTAATGGAAATTACAGGTTAATTTTTCCAGTCACAGCGGTGGGCTTCTGTTTAGACATGTATTTGATGTGAAAGTACAGATGTGCATGTTTATCTCCATTTAAACAGGGATTCTTGTTGCTATCTAAAGATCCTGTAACAACTTATGGTACTTAAAAGAAAAACCCCCACCAGTCTATGTCTGTTGTATGCATTGTTTTCGGCAGTCAGAGAATTCCCTCCTGTCTCCCAGTAGCGGTGTTAAAGCTAGCTGATGGAGTAGGCTGCCAAGCCCATTTTAACTTGAAACTTTTGCATAAAGGGACATCCTCCTAAGAATCTTTAACCGAAGTTGCCTGCGCGGAGCATTATCCAAACTTACGTGCTCTTGGAAGTAAGTTTTTTTCCACTTAATTTTTATAGAAACCTAGTGTTGATTGAATTTTCTCTTTTTCCAATTCAGTTTGCTTCCCTGTTCTTCTTCAGCTACATAAACGGTCTGATTCTTGTAACAAATAACAGTTTAGAGATATATAAGCGTAGCTAAATATATACAAGTGGTCAGGTCTTCTAAAATCTCCCATTACTTTTACTTTTTAAACTGAATTGTCACTTAGCTGAAATCCTGCTCATTATGCTTTGTTTGAAATTAAATTCTTCAGGTTCCCATGAAATATAAAATAATAAATACTTTGTTCTCTGGATTTGTAAATGCCTGCAAATAACAGAAGAGCTGCTTTAATAGTAGAGGTTGTTCACAGACCACACAGGATGCTTCTCCACAGCGTGCTCATTTGTAATTCGGTGGTGCCAAGGCTCCATGAAACGCCACCTCAGATCATCGCCAGCAAAGATGTATTTCACGAAACGGAGGCATCGGAAAAGCTTCATGGCTTATTGCTCGTTTGTGCTTTAGTGCTGGCCCTTTTCAAGAGTGCTGAGGGCGTCCGCGACGAGCTGGAGGAGCTGGCTTCGGCGCTGACGCGATGCCGGCAGGCGCGGGGCAGCTTGCGGCTCCGGGCAGCGAGGAGGACGCGATGCGCCGCGGGGCTGGCTGTTCCCTTGCTGCTGCCTCGCTGCGGCCTTGCACCGGGATGCTCTCGGCGGGTGGCCCCGCTTATATTTAAACTGCCCAGTTCGGCGTTACGTGCTCCTCTCCCGTGTAGCCTTTGCAGCCCACGGGGAAACCAGACGCGAGTGCTGCAGACGCCAGAGCTGGGGGGCACTTGCAAAAGCCCCCTGGTCTGTTCTGGAAAGCTTTGCCCTTTCCCTGGGAGCAAGCCGTGAAAAGAAAGTGCAGATTAGAGAAACAGGTAAAACGTTCAACTTAATGAATGGTTCTGCTCAGTCTAAGGGAGATGAGCTATTTAATCCTGAGAGAAATCTCTCTAAATGCATTTCCTCGATGAAAAGAAGTTTTGTATTCTTTGTTGAAAGGACAGAAAGTATTACGGGATGTGGAAAAAAAATCATTTTCTTTTCTCATTTTCCTCTTCAGACAGATGCTTTCTGTACATATTCTCTCTTTAGGGAGTATTAAATTGTTCTGAAAGCCAATTTATAATGCTTTGCTATTAAGGAAGAATATGATTTTATGGTTAATATGTTTAGTGTATGGCAGAAAGACATATTTTTATTGACATGGGGGACAGAGGCATCCGATCTGTATTGGGTGCCTAACTTACCGTACCTGTCACGTTATAAATGCAAGCTTTTCTTTTGGAGCCCAGGAAGTTTTTGGTGGCAAAATTAGATAAATAGAAGAAAAGTAAAAAAAAAAAAAAGTTCTTGCTGGACATGCTGTCTAGTTGGCAATTCGTAATAACCTGTATACTTGGTATACTGCTGTGTTACAATTAATCATAAGGCACTGGCACAGGTTGCCCAGAGGAGCTGTGAACGCCCCATCGCTGGAGGTGTTCGAGGCCAGGCTGGATGGGGCTTGGAGCAGCCTGGTCTAGAGGAAGGTGTCCCTGCCCGTGGCTGGGGGCTGGAACCAGGTGATTTTTAGGGTCCCTTCCAACCCAAACTGTTCTATGGTTCTGTGATCATGAGATGCTGAAAAGATGAGCGTTATCAAGGTATAAATGTATTAAATCAGTGTATTGGCTGTGAAGCAGCCGCACGAAATGCAGCAGAAGACTCGAGGCCAGAGAGACGAAACCTTGCTGGCGGGTTGTCGGGGCAAGGTCGAGCAGTTGCGGGGCGGTAGGAGAAGGGGAGCAGGGGGAGGGCAGGCGGTGTCGGCGGCGGGGACGGGATCAGCCCCGCGGAGCGCCGCATCGCCGCTGAGTTATGTGCAGCTCGTGCGCTGGGAAATGGCCAAGACGCTCCCCATTTCTGTAATGGTGCCAGGGGATTAAAGGAATGAAGGGCGTTTATACGGGACTAATTAACGCTTGGCAGGACTTGACCTTTTTAATGTATCTATCACGTGTCAACATTTTGCTGCGTGAGTGGCGTTGTTGCGTTTCTCTGAACGTATGCCATGCCGTTAAGTCGCAGTCTCCGTTCTGGCAGCCCGGGCGAGTGATGAAAAGGATTCACGTGCCGTCGGGGCTGCGCCGGGGTCTGCGGGGGCGGAGGGCAGTCGCAGTGCTGGCAGCAGCCCTGAGCGCTGCTCCCCTTCTCTATCCTGCCCAAGATGTCCCTGGCAGATGCAGGCGCGGGCTGGTTTAAGATTGAGATGTTGGAAAAGCGGCTGAATGCCTTTTTCTCAGTGCTGTCCTCTTCCTGCTCCCTGTGGTGTCAAGTATAGGCTTAAAGCAGAAAATGATGTGTCCGACTTCCCACACCTTGTCTGCAATGAAAATAAAACCTCAGCTTACCCATTACTCCTATGTTTAGAAGGTTTTATGATTTCCAGCTGTGGTTTAACCCTTAATGCAAAGTGTCGTCTCCTGGTGAGGTTTCCCACTGCCTTTATAGCTCTATGAGAATTATTTAGATTTGTGCATTATAATATTATGTCCATGTAGCAAATGAATGCCTACAAATAGACATAAGAATTCTGATAAGAAACAAACAGCCCAAGAAAAAGTAGAGTCTTATTGTAATTTCTCATTCTAGAAATTCATTTTTCAGTTACACTACAGTACATTTGTTGGCAGAGTCATTGAGAAGAGGGCAGTGAAAGGGAAGTAGTACACTGACATGGTAGCTTTTTCATTGTTGTGGGGTGTATATATATATTATATATATATTTTTATATGTAACACATACATATTTGTAGGAGGGTTGGGGGTGAATCATTACTTGAAGATTTGCATTTTAGTAGATTTGCTCCTAAGATGGAGAGGAGTTCAGCAATTGCACTCCTTCCTTGAGGGCTCTTGTGGTTCCTATCTTGTCACCGTAGGTCAGAGAGAAAATATCAGAAAATGTACCTCAAAGAACATTGAATATTCCCTCCTGAACCCATTGGTGCTGTGGGATAAGTGATGGCCTGTGTGACAATGACAAGGCATCACAGGCAATCACCTCCTTCTCGCTTGGAACAAGGGATGTCACTAGAAGAGAGCCCTCCCTGTCCTAATGCTATAGATCTCCACTTAATGGCAAATTAATCCATTCTCATTCTGTTCCCGTTCTGGCCTTCCTCATTCCTTTTCCCTCTTCAGTCCTCATGGCACTTTTTATTCACGTGGACAATTTTATCCTGGCCTCTTGATGTGGGTGTCCAGTTTTCTCTTGCTTTGCCCAGGCTGTTGCTGTCCCCATAGCCGTTTGCGTGTACTTCTGGGAGTCAATCTACAGTGTGAAGACTTGGAGTAAGGACCAAAGATGCTCGTCAGTCCTTTTCACTCTCCTCCACACTTGGTACTCGTATCCCACAGCGGCAGATAGTGGCAGCGCTCTTGTTTTTTGGGATCGTTGCTGCTGCTGCGCCTCCAAATGATCAAAGCGGTACTGTGGCAAATGCAGGGAGGTGCGGGTAAGTGTCATAACAGTCTAAATAAGAAACACGTATTTAAAAGGAAAAAAAATATGAGGGAATCTTATTTTTTTTTCACATTAATAGACGAAAGAGCTCCTGAAACCTTTTATGACTCTCTATTTTTTTCCCTAAGGAAAAATGTTAGAATTCTAAAAAAGAAAAATTCATTTTATGAGTTGCAGGAAGGCAGGGATGGCTGGGTTGGTTGCTGGCTAATGAGAAATTCCCTTTACAGTTTTGTGAAATAAGACACCTATCTCTTGTCTCATCCTTCTCCCAAAGAGGGATGCCTGTGGATAGACCTGGTGTGATGTCCTGACCTCCATGAGGTC